AGAAACCTTGAGTTTGTGCTCTCTTGCTTATCTTCTTTTTTTTTTTTGACTGCAGGACAGAATCAGCCATGCGTAAAGTAAATGCCCCAAGATTATTGTATTGGTGTTACGACATAACCCTGCAGTCCAGTTGTGCTTTCACAGAAACATAGCTCCTAGACTTTAATCTTTATGCTTCTCATTATTAGTTTCTGAAACAACATTAAACCCCACATATATTCTTTGTATGCAGCACAGCAGTGTGAGGACAGAAGCATAAATAGAAAAGGGGCATGTTTAAAATAATAAAGGAAATCAGTAGCAGTCTGGGCAGGACTCCAGACACCTTCACTCCCATTCTCTTGAGTAATCTGTGATCCGTGCTACCTGCAGATGAGTATTCTGTTTCTCTTTCTAGCAAGCACACAAAATGGATTTGCCTGTATGGGTGACACCAGATGTCATGGCTCAGCTGAAGCAACTAAAAGACTTTGGTTTTGAATTTCTGTTTGGGATCCACAATCGGGTAGAAAAAGCTCGTCTGCAAGGCGGTGAGTGCACCAGGGAGGGAGCTTCATGCTGCTGCCTGGTTTTTGCCTCTTACCAGCTGTTCCCTTTCCTCAGGGGTCCTGCTGGATCACATAAGGAAAAACCTAACCAAAGCAGCAAATGTTTCTGCCCGCCAGAACCTGAAACTACTTGTCTATTCAGCGGTAAGTCAGAGCTTGGGGGCTAGCTTTTACCCATCTCCTCCTCCTTACAGGGGACTGGGGCTTGGTGATAGTTTTAACCCTTTCTGGCTTCTCTCCAGCCCATGCAGCAGTGATCAGGACATGGATCTTTGCCTCTGGATGGGTGGGATGTGTAGGATCTGGCATCATTCCTTTGGGGGTCCTGAGGAAAATTCCCAACCCACACTTTGTTCCTCTTAGCTCGGGCTTGCAGATGAGACTGGCAGACTTTGGGGAGCTACTGCTGTATTTACTGGGTAGGTGGGTTGATGCTACTCAGATGTGATGTTTCAGTAATGTAGGTACAGAGTCATCCCCCCTTTCCAGCAGCCTACAGACTGGAAAGTCGAGCATTTCTCCCAAATTGCTGCCTAGAGATTAACTCTTAAAGAACAATGCAGGATATATATGGCTGTGTTTCACTCCCTCCCCTTCTCTGGCACTGTCACAGATCACGGTTCTATCAGTACAGCTCCTCTTCCTTCTTCCAGATGGAAGTTACAAAGGTGATGTCCCCTCAGCGATACCCCATCCGTGACTGGTATGGTCTGAGCTGCCCTGCCACATCCGTAAGGGTGACTGATTTGGTTTTTTTCCCCTCTTTCTCAGCATGACACCACACTTGTGGCACTGCAGATGGCTCTAGATGTCTACAACAAGATTCAAGCGCCATACGCCTCATGTCATTTATTTGAGCTGTACCAAGAGGACGATGGGTGAGGGCTGCAGTAAAGACCTCTGCTGTGATTTCACCTCAAGGGTTAGATACCTAGGCTAGGCCCCACCCCAGGGGGATGCAATCTTGCTCCTAGTAGCAGACTCTTCAGAGGAAAACTACCACCAAAGTAAAGGAGAGGGTGTGCGCACTGAGGTTTTGGGAAGGGATGACTTTAGCTGGAGAATAACAAACATCTAGCTGTGTTTTGTTTTCAGTAACTTCTCTGTGGAGATGTTTTTCCGCAACGAGAGTGGGAAGGAACCTTTCCCACTGACAATCCCTGGCTGTGAGCACAAATGCCCACTGCAAAGATTCTTGGAACTCACAGATCCTGTTGTTCCCCAAGACTGGGAGCAAGAGTGCCAGGTAGCAAGCATCATGCACGACACAGGTGAGCCCAGGCCGGACCAGAGCATGGCAGAAGGGGAAAGTCTGGATGATACCACGTTGACCGCTTGTTTTCTCCCCTGCAGAACTGTTTCTGGGTCTGGCTGTGTGTGGATCCATTCTCCTTCTCCTTATTATCCTCCTCTTGACGGTACTCTTTCGCATACAGTCTCAGCCCCCTGGCTACCGGCATGTTTCCAATGAGGGAGAAGATCAGGCCTGACAGTTGCTTCAACTCCTTCCCAGGCAGTAGGAGGGAGCAGCGTTGCCCCTAAGGATGATTGGGCACCTTCAGTTCCTGAGCATTCTTCTGCTTTGGCCATTGCTTCCCAGTATGAAGCTAGACTTGATTTTTTTGGATGCTTTCTAAAGGTGACGTCCCAGAGAGAGAGGACTGAGCTACTCTAATGGAAATGACACCTTAATTCTGAAGCCAGTGTACTGTGTGGTGCCCCCAGTCCTCATACAGCTTACCTAGTCTGGGATTCCCAACATGGCCAGTTGGAGCTGGTCAAGCATATTTCTCCTTTCAAGTGATTGTAAATGTTACCACTCACCGTAACTGCGGCAGAGGGGCTTGGGCCTCCAGCAGCTGCCACGTCCAGTGCAGTCAGGAGTTGAATCTCTCTTCAGGGTCAACCTGCTTTTGGTGCTTTTCTCTCAAGCCATTGGGCTGATGATGGTGGGAAGGCTGGGCTTGGAGCAGAGGGCACAGCTTGATGCACCAGGACTCATCTGTCCATGCACAGAGAACTGCTGCAGAGGATGGCAGACAGCGAAAAGTGTTTCTTGAGGTTGCTGTTAAGTAGTTGCTACTGGCAACTGGTCTTTTTTTTCCATGCTCACATTGTGATCCAAGAGAGAACTGGCCTGGAATCAGGCCAAGATTGAAAACCCAGCAGTAGTTTCTAGGATTCAGCTCAGAGTAGGGTACATATGATCAAAAGAAGCTCCAAAGGCTTCATCAGAGAGATGAATTCCTGTGACCATAGCAAACCCGCACCCCATTTCTTGTGCAGTGGTGGTTCTAGAAAGGAGAGTCCCCATAGGTAAGAAACTTGTGCCCTGTCTAAAAAGATTCAGCCTTTGAATTTGACTTCCCCACCTCTGAACTTCAAGTACCTATGACAGGGAGTATCCAGTACTGCAGGCAGTCCAGCCTGCAGCTACATGGGTCCATTCTGCTTTACTGGCAGAATGTTTTTATTCTGTAATTCAAGAGATGTAGCAGAGCTGTTACCTAAGACTGGATTAAATGCCAAGTTCTGTAGTTTTTCTTGCTATCTTCCCTACTGGATGAACAACAAACAAAGGAAAAAAAAAAAACCCAAACCATAAAGGATCCGAGTTTGCAGGTGACTCTGGATCCCTTTATTTGCCATGCTTTGGCTTTTTGTCCAAAGTGTGATTCTTCTTCCAGGCTGGCCTCTCTGTGTGCGCTGCAGCTGCTGCAGGGAACTTCATGCCAAATGCTCACCATCTGCCTTGTAGCTTTTGGCAGAAAATGAGAGACTGCAGCAGGCACCAGAACCACAGGCTCTTCCCATGGTGATGCTGCACATTCACTTCCCACTTTTACTTCCCTTTCTGGTGCAGTTCCCTTCCCCTCTTGGCGGCAGAAGCCAGCTCTTAGGTTACAGGCGTTTCCTTTCCTTCCCCTGTGGAGTACCGTGGGGACTTTTCCCTGCAACATAATCAGCATCTGCCTGTACGGGAACTCTACATCAGCAGAAGCAGCTTGCTGTTCTCAGCATCTTCCTCACCTTTTTGTCCTCTGAAGATACCATCTAGGTCCCCTGCACAGCAAGACAGTCATAAAGGAAAAGCTGCTCCCTGTGAGAACAGGGACAAGAAAGCGGTAACAAAGTGCATTTAGGAGGACCAGACCTGTTATTTTTAAAGGCAGCAAATTTTGCACACACAGAGGAAAGGTTTCTATGATGATTTAGACATTTTGACTGTGAATGACTTTCTGTAATTGTTCCAATACATTTCCTTTTCATTATTAAAATCAAATTCGCACTGAAGTCTACTTCTCCTCTTGTCTAAGAGTTCACAGGGCTAGCACCAGTGTGCTCAGTGTTGGAAAACAGGCAGGACTTACTGCAGCGTACCCCCTCCAAAGTAAATCCCTGATTTACAATCCCACTTCATAGCACAGTGAGAATTGAGAGCAACTATTTTTGACTGCAGCAACTGTGCATAGATACAGCTTATAATGCAACCCATCCAGCATGGAAGGGTCCATTGCAGACACAGTACTAAGACTGGTATTTCCACCACTGTTCTCAGTCCCTTAGGCCTCCTGCAGAAAGGTTAGTAACTTCCCCTAGACAAAAGCAGAATGCTCAAAGCAGCCACTCTCCATATCGAAGAAGAATTTCAGTTTAGTACAAAACTTTATTAATACCAATACTGCAAAACTATAAAAGTGAACATAGAGAATCTGAGCAGGCCTGGAGCCTGTCCCATCCATCAACCTCTGGGACAACAGCAAGGCCCCAGGCAGCCTTGTAAACAAACTAGAAAAAGCAAAACTTTTCAGTTTAACCAGCAGTCTTGAGATTTGCCTCCGAGCAGGGGTGTTTGGAAGAAATTCCTCATTTCTGCTTTACAACACTTCTATCCAACATTCTGAAGCACATAGGTGTGGGTGAAAAAAAATTACCTCATCAGTGGCAAGAAAAAGCCTAGAGCTCTGAAAATAGAAACTACACAATCAGTATGTTCCAGGCTCCACACTGCCCTTGGATCCCATGAGGCAGGTAAAGCGCTCTGGCATCATCACGTTCTCTGTGGTCTAGTTAAACAGCTGCAAGCACTGAATAGGCTAAGCCTGAGGTCTTGACAGATGCACTTTTCCAAGAAGCTTGCATATGGGAGAGGTTGGTGTTCCCTAGGCTACCCAAGCTACCCCTCGCCTCATGTGAACATTCTAACTTTTCAGGACGTTAACCTTGTTGGCGAAGGGTTTCTCAGCTCAGTTTGACTAGAACAGGCTGGGGAGCCTGTCACGAGCTGCTCAACAGCAGATTACAGGAGATGGCAACCTCTGACAGTGATGACAAGCAGATGCGGCAGGCTGGGAGCCATAACTTATCTTTGAAGGTTTCCCTAGTGCCTTGGAAAATGGGTGGTAACTCCACTTGAAGGAGGAACTGAGTACTGACACAACTTGCTAGAAGGAGAAGCAAAGGGAATCAGGGAAGCAAGATCAGATCCAGGGAGGAAGGACAAAGTACAGGTCTAATGCCCTGCACAGCTTATACTGCCCATTGCCAACGCTGAATTTGTACCCTGTGATCCAGAAAGGATCAAAATACTAAATCAGTTCTCTAGATCCTTCCCTTTTCGCTTCCTTCCCTGTGATTTAGAGTCATTGCTTTTTGCTCTCGTCTCTTCCAGCTCCCAAGACAGTAAATTAGCTTTGAGTTTGCTCGTGCCAGGGTTTGTCTGCCTCTGCCCTCCACGTCTAGACAAACTCCAGCTTCCAATCCCCTGTTCTGTCATGGCTTTCAAAAGGTGTTCTTGCTTCTTGGCCACCATCTCCTCCCGGCTCCAGATCAGAATATTAAAGCCTGAGAGGAAAAATTGAACATTGTGCATCAGAAACTCCACATCAAATATAATACCTTAGGCTATGTCACTTAAATGCTGGAAATTGAGAATGCCTTGTCTGTTCTAAGAGATTTCCAAGGTACAGAGGATGCAAAGATACTTATTGCAGATGCTATCTCCACACAGCCATGGAAATTTGATCTAATTATAAGAAACATGATCAAGTAATTCCTAACCTCATCTATCACAGGTCTAAGACCTAAATCTATAGCCAGCTCCCTTAATCCCATACAGCCTGTGAAAAAACTGAGCAATGTTGGCTCTGTGGCCTAGGAAATGAGATAAAATTAAATGAAGGGAGAGGGTACAGCCCAGCCAGAAAAGGCTTCCCCCGCCCCAGCTACTGTTACATGGCCGGCAGATGGCATCAGCTCCCTGCTGCAGAGAGGCTTCTCACTCCTCTGGACTTGATGCTCTCAGGACCGTGACGCAGGAGATGACTGGCAACCTGTTTGCTAACTGCAAAGGGGAAGACTGAAAAGAAGGTCTTGATCTTTTTTACAGATGTAGGAAATTATAGAGGCCCATTTGGGAAACCCTCACTCACAACTTGCTTTAGTCTGGAGAAACAAGCCTGCCCTTTTCTGGGACTGGAACCCACCATGCTTAGTGCCCCAGGTTCTCTTTACTTACCCATGCCAGAAGCCAGCGTGTCTCCCATAGGGTTAAATTTATTGAGCTGGAAATGGAAACATAATCGGAATCTGTAAGAGCATCACTGCTTATATAACAGAGTCCTAAGAGCACCATGGCTTATGTAACAGCAACAAACCATCTGGAAAACCCAGTGTTCCTGAAAGAGCATCACAGGAAACCCACAGATGACCATGGGCCAGCCCTGCTCGAGTCAGCAGCATTAGCCAGCAGCCGTACCCCAAAAAGAGCGTGAGTCTGTCACAAGTAAAGAAGACACTCCTGTTGTTCCAGTCCCCAACCCATCTCTTGGCTGCGGTTCAGTACACAGCAGTGCTTTTAGCTTCAACTCACCGAGATTATACCAGAAGCATTTGGATCATGGAGTTGACAAACCATCTCCCCGGTGTTTCCATCAAATACATCAACAGTTCGTAGCTCGTTCACTGTGTACCCTGGGAACTTGGGGTCTGGGTAGCGACCTGCTACAATGAGGTCATAGCGAGGATGCCATGTTGCCTAGTCATAAAGCAGAGTGATGGGGAGTTAAGAGAAAGGGACAGAGCCCATACTGACACACACCAGACAACCGGCAGTGTGAGCAACAGTTTGTACATCCCACCCACAGCCTGAGGAACATGGGTATCCTCAGAATGGTGCTCTGCTGGGAGTTGCAGCAGTATGAACACCCACCCACCAATGTAGTATCCTGACCAGAAATCAGACCATTTCTGATTTACAGCTGGTTGCTAGCACCAAGCGTGATACTCCTCTCAAACTGCACTGGCTTAACTCACCTTAATAGGCGTGAGGTGCTGAAACTGCCGGTGTGGATGTGGGATTAGATGCTGTGGCTTGGTCCAGTCTGAAGATGAGTAAACCCTGATTTCACTGCGCTGGTCTGTGCTCAGGAGTTTGGCACCATCTGTTGGGCTGAAGTAAGCTAGAAGAGGGGGACAATAAGGAAAACAAAAGATCACAATGCTGTGACTGACAATAAAGGGTGACATAAAGTGACATAAAAGTCACATTTCTCTGATTGGAAACCAATTGCTATTTCTTTAATAGGGATGTGAATATAGCCATGTGTCCCAACAGACAAGACTTTACCTTTCTCAAACTCAAAGCTCTTACAAACAGTAAGCTGAAACCTCCAGCGCTGGGTTACGTAGGAAGACTCATTCATTTTAGAATCTCAGACAGAGACATTGCAAAGAAAGGAACTTGCTCATTCAAATGGAAACAGACACCTGCAGTTTGGACTTTCGTGAACTGGTAGAACTGCACCCAAGAAACAGAGGTTTGAGTCCCATGCTCTGCTTTTGTCAAAGGAACTGCCCCGATAAATTCAGGTTTCTAATCTCAGCCACTGCTGATGCTTCCGCACCCACCTCTCAAGGCACAGTGACAGTTTGTATGGCAAGTCTAAGACTGTGCTGCCCTATCCACCTCCCTGCCTCTGGCCACGCGTTCCCACTGCCTTCCTTGCTTTAACGCTAGCTACTGTGCCAATTTGAATTTGAGCAAAAGCTAACATTGCCACAACAATAAAAGCCGAGATGAGTGGACTCTCTGCAGACATCTACGCAAAGAAATCCTTATCTCAACTCACCTGCATTGACAGGTTTGTCATGAGGAAGCAAATGAAGAAAATTCATTTTGTTTTTGATGTTTCTGAGGTCCCAGATTTTGACTGTCTGATCCACAGACGCTGTGGCCAACAACCACTCACACCGGGAGTTAAACTCCACATGAGTCACCTTCTTCCTGTGCAATTTCAGCTTCCAAATCTGCAGCAGAGGAAACAGAAAATCACACAGAAAAATAATCAAGGTCTAGCATAAAGAAATGGAATAATAATCTACTAGTGCAGAGTAAAGAGGTCACACATTTACATAGTAACAAAACTTCTAAAATACACCAAGAGTTCATCCACTGGAAACAAGAAAGGAGAAGAATGACCTTGGGAACTATTTAATTCTAGGAGAATTCTGATCCACCAATTTATTACAGCTATGAGAAAGGAAACTGCGAACCCTGGTTCAGGGAGGGAAGTATTAGTGCCACTGTACAAAGCAAGATCACATCTGGAATACTTTATGCAGTGCCAGTCTTCCACCTGCAGAAAGATTAAACCAAACTGGAACAGGTACAGAAAATGGATATAAATGGATATAAACTGGCCATGAATAAATTTATATCTGAGGTTGGAAGATTATTTTTAATCAAAAGGGTGAAGCTGGCCCATCCTCCCTACAATAACGGGTATCTCCCAAGTGCAGAAAGACTGTTACATTTTTCAGGAATAAAAAAAAAAAGGAAAGGAAGCAACTAACCTTGAATAAGCACAAATCATTTGGAGCACTCCTGACTCTGCCCACTACTTTACACAGCTGCCTCTGGCCGCAGCTCACTGGGTGGCAAACCCTTACAGATGTTACCCTTACAGGCAGGAGCAATGGTAATCCCAGCGTGACCGTACAGCAGGCTCTTGGAAGCAGGCAACTATTCCCTACTGTACTACTTCAAGACTCGAAGGCACAGCCTGCCTCTGCCTGCCCTCTCGTGTCTAATGGCAGTAGTGCAATGTCTAGCCCAACAGTTGCTGAATTACTGTTGTGTACCTACTCCAAGGTCATAGAAGGGTATATAACAAAGCAGCATCTCCTAAATGATTCCCATTGGTGCACTAAGTTTCTGGAAGTGCAAAGGTTATTGGCAGAAGGTGCTCACATCTTCAGCTTACCCTATAATTAACTCTGACTCTTAAGGAGGGGGCAGCACATGACACAGTCCCTGTTTGGAAATCATTACCATTACGCTCAACGATGTGAAAATGTCTAATGAATGGCAGAAGTGGAGGACTTCTCACCACCTAGATAATGGGTGGACTCATCTCCTGAGCTGCAAAATAGTTGCTCCTCTTTTCAGGGTCCCCACAGTGTAGGAAAGCACATGAACCATGAAGATTCCTGTAGAGGAGATACTGCACGGAGCCATACAAACCTCTTTACCAGAAGTGCTGAGCAGGACCACGTTGCCCACATTATCACCTGTCACCACTGCACGGCAGCTTGCAGAAACATCAACACTGCAGTACCAGCAACTAGAGGGAAAGACACAAAATCAGTGCTGCCTCCCACGGGCAAGTGAAGGCAGTGGAGCTCTGGTTCACATCTCGTCCCTGCTACGGGAGACTGCAACAGATTGTAACTGCAATCTCCTGCCTGATGCTGTGGGCCTGAGTGTCAGGAAAGGGGGACAGCTTATCAGCAATACTTTCTGTTGGTGATTGAATATGAAATGTTCAGTCACTAGTCATTTGTGACATGCTCATTAGATGGAGTGTGATACATTGGGACAGTGGAACATTATAGAGGCTGAAAAGCCACTTAGTGCCTGCACGTGGCCATACCTTGGGAAAGATCAGAACACCCTTGTGACATTGAGAAATATACAGAAACAGCTTTAAAATTACGTTTTCCACAGAACACTGAAGCAGCAGTAAAGACAAAAGCTTTGGACTGGAAAGTTGCACATCAAACTCTCACACTCCTGCTGTCATCTCAACTTCATGCTCCAGGAAACAAAACTGCATGGACACTTATATGATAAAGACATACATCTTAACCCCAGCTCTGCAGGGAGGGGAAGGGCAGTGAGAATAAAGCTGGGGTTCTCTGGGAACTTGTTGGGAAAGCTTCACTTGAAAGATAAATTAGTCTAGAATTTGAGGTCATAGAAATTAGCATTGTGGGCCTGAAGCCTCCAGAAGGGCAGCAGGGTAAACTCAATAACCTGAAACTCAGATTGTGCAGGGATGTTTTGTGGGTTTCCTATGCTACCTGAGCTACTACAGACAAAACAGAACACTGATGACAACAAAGAGGAAGAAGTTATCCTGCTCTTCTCACCTCACACTTTATGACGTGAAAAGCTGTCAGTATCTGCAAGACAGGAGATGGCATCACCAGAAAGCAACACCAGAAGATGCAGGCAGCACACTCAGCTACTAAAAATGTGTAAGTGCCCCATGGCTGCCTAGTTTGTCACCCACCCTGCAGTGCTAGGGTTGGGATCAGAAGCCTGTCTCCAAGCTCCCTCACAGGACTGATTCATACCGAGAGTCTCCAAACACTGGCAAAGATGAAGATATTAGAGAGCACAAGAAGCAGCGCAGCATTAACCCCAAGGAACAGAGAATCAACCTTGCGGTTCTCCCTTCTCACCAAACATTATGGTGCTCATGGCCACAGTCCGGTGCACGGGAGATCACCTGCACCGCTCTGCGCTCAAGGTCCTGCAGACTTAGGGTGCCATCCCCTGATGCCACATAAAGCTTCACTGCCTCATAAGGACTGAACTTGATGTCTCCAAGAGAATCTCCTGGCCCTTTCTGGAATACACACAAAGCCAAGAGGCATCAAGGTTAGAGTGAAAGACAAAATCTTAATACAACACTCGTCTCCTGGAACACACTGCTGGTTTCCCTAGGCACAACGCACTTTCTGACAGGGCACATACATAAGAACTTTTTTCCTAATCTGTTTGCAATCTGAGCACATACATCCTGAGCCTGTAAATTCAGCCCCACCACTTTGGGCTGCAAACCTCATTAGCAGCATTGCTTTTTCTTCTATGGGGGAGAAGACTAATCTGCAGTAAACCACCTGGCTCAGACCAGGCTTAGATCACAAGCAAAACCAGCAGAAACCACCTAAAATCTCATGACAGTCCTGCACCAGGCTTTTCTTACAGAGATTTCATTCACCAGTTCCCTACAGGCTGCTTCCAGTGCTGTATCTGGTCTTTCTCAAGGTACCAGCAGGCAGGAGGAGAGTGGTGCAAGAAATCCTACTGCTAACCCCATGGCATGGAGATCTTATGACCTGTGTTCTACTGTTTTGTTATGTTGTTTTGTTATGTTGTTTTCCCCCAATTTGTCTACTGAGAAAATGTGGAAAACCTACACAAAGACAGGAAAGAAGGATGATAGCTGGGAGTCCCCAAACTCTTTGATACTCATGTGCACTCCATCTGCTGCTCACAAAGCAACTACTTAATAAAGTCTCACTGTAAATACTAGATTTCAAGAAGACAGTGAAGATAAAAAAGGCCCGCCCGTAGAGCCTGCCAGTGCTCACAGCAGTAGAAGAGGGACGGCATGCCCTTCAAATCCAGACATCTTTGCTGTGACAGGCATTCCACGGAGATACGAGACCCCCATGTCCTGAGACCCAGTCTATCACTCCTTGCTCACCTGGCCAGTCATCCCAGCACTGCTTGGGCTCTCCTTCTGCCCTATTACAAGGGTGCAGCTGGAACGGTCAATTTGGAAACCAACCATGAAAGCTGCCACCCGGAAAGAATCAGATGAGGAAAAGTAAAGAGGAAGCTAACCCAAATTCTCTCACTTACCTTTAAGCACTGAACTGAAGTAACTAATTGAAGAGCTCAGGCTTCCTTGTAGTCCACAGAAAAAGCAACAGTCCAAGAGGGTGATTCTAAGCACAGGCAGAGTTGCCTCTAGCGATTCATCTCCTCTTTCCACTCATTACTGAAGGAGCCCAGACTCTTCAATTTTGGTATAATTTAGATAAGCACCAAAAGTTAGGGGGGATTTATTGGGGTGATCCTTATGACACACACCACTTGAAGTCAGCGGCGTTTGTGGAGAAGCACTGAGGGGACTATAAATTGTCCTGTAAAAACCATCTGACAACGAGCAGCACTGCTAACAGGTGAGGAGGTTAGAAGGTCCCCAGGGCACAGAGCTATGGGAGCTTTAAGAACAGACAGCTGCGGAAATCCACTGGCACCCCCACACTCTCCCATGTATAACAGGAAGTAAGCAGCGTCAAAGAGTCCCTCCCCCTGATGAAGAAAAGCTCTCTCCTACCCACCACCCCATTTCAGGGAAAAATTAAAAGGGAGAGTGAGTCCCCCTCGAAGAGAGAGGATCCCTGAAATTCAGAGGATAAAGGACACGTATGTGGAGAAGATGTAGCCCAGCTCCCACATATTATAAACAAACATAGCTCGCTCTCTCTTTCTCTCTCTCTCTCTGTAGTGCTCCTGCCAGCAGGACACAGAGGCCCAAAGCATTGCTGTATTTCTTACTCCCAGTCCTCGGTGCTGGTGAAGACCCGGATAGTATTGCCATTAAAATCCTGCAGGGTGGTAGTGCCGGCAACTGACGAAGTGTACAGCTGACTAGGGTTAAAAGGGTTAAACTTCATTCCTGTGATGGCCCCTCCAGCTCCCATCTATAAGGAAGGGGATGAACAAAAGAAAAATCCACTGAGTGATGGGGAAGGAGAAAAGGTCTGCATTCACTGCTATGTCCTTAACAGCAACAGTGAAACACACCACAGCCCTTCAAGGAGGCAAAGACAACCCTGTCCTCCCACATGATGGCTGTCTAGACAGCTGCCCTCCTGGAGGACAAACTGCAACTCCTTCAGTCCCTGGCTGGTTGGCACCACACTGTTTACAAAAAGATGACTCTGGAGTTTATGGAGGGTAGACCTCCTCTCAGTGTATATCTATGTTAATTTAGAAAGGGGATCAAAGTTACAGAGTCTTTGAGCCCCTGCTGGAATAGCAATGGCTGAATACAGCAACGAGGGGGGCATGCCAGCTACATAAACCATTCATTCTACCTTAGTTTCTCACTTTAGATAAAGGGACTTTGCTTCTGCCCCCCTCAAACATGTTTCCTCATCTGACACAGAATAAAAGGTGAGCAGAGAAAGATCAAGACCTAAACCAGACAGACTCTCTCTGCCTACTTGTTTCTGGCATCCTTTTAAGATAAATGTTTTGCCAGTTGCTGTACTATTTCTCCACTGAGCACATACCAAGTACTGCTTCACTGTGATCTTACTCAATACGCCTCAGTTCTCCCCAGCACTAGAACAGTCTGGGACTTAGGAACAGACATGCTGTTGCATCTCAGCCCTGCCCCATAGCTAGCTGCTCTGCAACCAAGACCCTCATGTGCTTCTCACAACCGACCTCAGTTTTGATCCGCAGTATTTGATGGTATTCCAGTTTTCCCTCCCACACACTCCACGCACCCAGAGGCTTACCCCTTTTATGAAGCAGGTTTTAGTAAGTACTTCATAGTCCCAAAGGATGATGTCTCCACCTTTGGAACCAACAGCTACAGTACTGGGGTGTGTTGGATGCCATTCCAGGCATGTCACTCTCCTGTCAAAGGGACTTGCTGTTCGAAAGAGGCGGTATGAGGCGAGAGAACGCAGAAAAGGCAGCTGCAGACACTGTTTAAAGATAAAGAGAATTATGACTTTTGCAGAGATCCCCAAGACTCTCTGAATGAGGAGCACTAACAATTTCTAATTGCCATCAGTGGTAGCACACTCACACAAAATTCTAAGCCTCTGTAGAATGAGAACGTGCTGTCCCCAAGGGAAACAGACTGTGACCACACAAATCTGCATCAGCCACAGCACTCAGAAAGCAACAGAGAACTGAGAGATACCACACTTTAAATGATGTACAGGGAGCTAAACCTTGTGGGCTCAGCTAAAAAGGCAGGATAATTAACAAGGGAGAAGAACACGCCTCCACACCAGTAAAAGGCACTTATGACTATCGGCGTCTTTACTGAGTATCCCAAAACGTTACACATCACCCAGATACACAATATTATGGTCCTCCATCCAAATTGCCTGCAGCTCAACTATATAGCATAAGAGTGAACAGAACACTTGAAAGAGGAAATGAGAAACCATGAACAACTGTACTGTTATTCAGCTAAGGAATAGGTACTGCTTGAATGAGCCGGGTGATTTCTTTATCATTTGGATACTTAAAATAGATAAATCATCTGGAAGATAAAGCTAGCCCAGGTGCTTCCCACATATGGGTGTTACAGGAAAAGTTAATTTTCAAATGAAAGAAGAAGTATGGCTCTGAAAAACAGCAAAACATTATGGACTTGATGGAATATGTCTGTGAAGAGGAAAAATCAACACTAAACCTAATGTGATCAGCAAAGTAGAGCCGATACAAAAACAGTACAACAGTCAGATCAGCGTACAAAAGCAGCACTGTGCAATAACTCAATTGGTAGAGTAGGTAAGTTTTAATATGATTCAAGGAAGCACAGAATTACCAGAGGATAAAATGTAGAGTGACGGGGCTGGGTCAACCGAAAGGGAAAGCCATCTCAGCTCTTGCATTTTACAGGATCAAGAAACATAAGGGTGCGCCAGACTTGGAGCCACAAACCGTGCATGTGAGGAACTTTAAGCCCCTCTAAAGTTTCCCTGCTTGTGGTGAAGATGTTTTTATGTACAGAGCTGAGATGTCCAACAGGGCATGAAGGAGAAACTCCTCACCTGTCTGAGCTGTGCCCGAATGGAGCCTCCCAGCATGTTCTGGTAGACATAATGAACAATGCTGCGCTGCCGCTCCAGCTGATGGAAAAGGACTCTGTTGTTTCTCACCACGGACCCACCTCCACTCCAACCTGCCAGATAAGAAAAAAGTAAAACTTACTGAGAGCCAGCACTTGTCATGCTCACTCACTAAACAAGGGAAGACATGTGCATTGGCTGCTATATCCATGAGAAGCTTCAGCCACGAGGTAAGTGTCTCTAAGTGATTCTTGCCTATCTAAGGTGCAGCAGGCTCTGCAATTATGGAGTCCAGTGCTTCCCATAGCCTGCCAGAGCCTTGTGTATGCTTCCTCTTGTTAAACCTTCCTTCTCCTTGCCAGAGATTTATCAAAAAGACAACAGGAGAGGACTAAAGCAATGCCACAGATGGTGCATCTCTTGGACAGTATACAATTTGAATGTTTTACACCAAAAATACAATGAAGCTATCCAAAGCCCCAACAACTTGGAAATACGCCATGGGAGGTGGTAAGCCCCTGGGTACAGCAAAGGGAAGGTCAGACGTGTGACCAGCAGAAACGTTAACACCTGAAAATTCCCCAAGCATAACAACATGAGTTCCCACACAGTTCCTGAAATGCCTGCTTGTGAATCAGAATTTTCGATCTGCTTGTGCTGTAGCCCATACACTCTGCCTACAGCACTGCCAGTTTTGGTTTTGATAATAGACTTGCTGACGCCTCATTGCCTGAAAACATTTCTGTTTGGAGTGATTTTTGCTGAGAGTACAGCATGCTTCTACATTTTGTTCATGTTCCAAGTTTTTATCTTCAGGGACCTTTACATGAAAAACGGATCTGTTCAGTCCCATGTCTGTGATCTAATCATCCCCATGGCAATGGTCTGTAACACCCCAGGGGATCTAGAAGTCAAATGCATTTCTTAAGAAACAAAAATGCTGTTTTTATTTAAGGATATTTATAAAAAGCAGAAGACTGAAAACATAGGGATCATTCTATATGATTAGAATCCAAACAAAATCTTTCTTTAATGCAATGCTGGAGTCTAGATATGCACAGGTGTGAAACTGAACTTTGTTCACATGCCAACATAGTGCCAACACTTGTCACACCTGTTGAAATAGGTATAAAAGTATTTATATTCTAATTCCTTTTTTTCACAGAAGACTTAGCATCCACAGTTCCTTCTTCAGACGTGATGGAAATGGAGGTGTTTTTTCCAAATTCCTTTTTATTATGAAGGATAATTTATTAAGGAACAAACTTTAGGCCTTTTTAGAATCTTCTGGGGAAAAAAACTTTTAAAAGATGTTTTAATTGCAAGAAACTGAACCTGTCCTATATGGTTCAGGAGAAAAAAAAATATTTTTTCCAAAACACATAAAAATCAAAACTAGAACACAGAATGGAAAAGCTCAAATACAAAGGTCTTCATCTTTTTAAAAAAGGTGTAAGGAAAAAATATTATTTGCCTCATTTTTCCAAAGTACTAGCTGCATCCAGTTCCCTCTGAATCTTACAGGAACTGCAGGTGCTTACCAAATCTGAAAATCAGGACATGAAGTTACAATGAAAATCATGTAGCTAAATTAACTACAGAAGATGCTTTAACTATCCACAATTACACACAGAACTCCTTTCAGAGTACTTTGCCTCCACATCTACTGTTAACACTGCCAACTGCTCCAAGTTTGGAGTTACACACTAGACAATGGAAATGTACAAATTCATAGAACTCCTGTATCTCTGACTGTTGAAAAACACTTCAGTAATTTCTGGATCCTTAAAGCCAAAATTGTAGAGAAAGTGCCTAGTATTTCCACGTAAGGCAGTACCTCTAGTCACCTCCTAAACAAACAATTAAATTCAAGGTTTCATCTGAGAAAAGAAGGCTGAGGGGAGACCTTATCGTTCTCTACAACTACCTGAAAGGAGGTTGTACTGAGGTGGGTGTCAGTCTCTTCTCCGAAGTAACAAGTGATAGGACAAGAGGAAACGGCCTGAAGTTGTGCCAGGGGAGGTTTAGATTGGACAGTAGAAAAATTTTCTTCACCAAAACGGTTGTCAAGCATTGGAACAGGCTGCCCAGGGAAGTGCTTGAGTCACCATCCCTGGAGGTATTTCAAAGAGGTGTAGGTGTGGTGTTTAGGGACATGGTTTAGTAGTGAACTTGGTAGTGTTAGGTTAATGGTTGGACTTGATGATCTTAAGGGTCTTTCCCAACCTAAATGATTCTGTAATTCTATGAAAATAGTCCTCACTCTAGCTGAAGCCTATACAACTTTCTTGATAATGCAAAGCATTAATCTTTCCAGTATCTTACAATTTAATCACCTCTTCTCATTATATGAAAATTCTTTAAGAGGTTTTTTTTAAGTTATATACTAAAGGAAAAAAAAGGAAAGTGATTAGTGGAAATTCTGTCCAGTCTAATCTGAACATAGATGTAGAAAGTATTCCTACTTACTGTAGCAAAAGTTAGAATATGCAAAGAATCAGGTGGGAATGCCAGTTTAGACTGCATGCTGTAGGATACCAACCTTACAACTATGAAACTGCATTAAGAATTGCATGGGAGAAAAAACAATGTATTGCCAAGATTGGGCTGTCCTAGAATAAAGTAGATGTCCGGTAACTCAGGAATTCCATAAACTTAACCACCCTCAAATGAGCTGTGACAGCATCTTCAGTGAGCAGGCTTCTACCAAGAGGTAGGAGTCTCAAAAATGAAACACTCATGAAAGCGCGCACACACACACGCTCTCACTACACAGATAACTGGAGGATGTACTACCCCAACACATGTCCATGCATCACTTCAATATATAACCCCATCTGAACACTCATGTCTGAACACGCTTCTTGGCGTTCTCCCTCTTCAACTAGTCGATGCCTGTCATTTAGGGGAAATCTGGTTGGGAGAAACAGTAAGGATCTGAGGAAATGTTACCAATTTTCTCTGCGGGTTTGGATGTTTTTCTCACAACCAACTTCTTTGCTTGTGGCTCATTCCCTAGTTCCTCGTAGTCCGGTTTCCTCTTCCCAGCTGATTTTGCCTCTTCCGCCCAATGCTCATGTGTCCTCTCTTGCTTATCCTTTGGCTGGTTCACCGGAGCCATTCTGTCAGATCGCTAACAGCAAACAAAGCATGGAAGGTAAGACTTCTTTTAACTAGAAGACAGAGAGGAAAATGGGCATGAAACATATCCCAGTGGTCTGAAAGTAGCGATTATACCTATACCCTCTTTCATCAGCATGACACTAGCTTTTGTTGTGCTCTGCTGGAGAGGGGAACAGGTTCAAGAAACTCTTCTTTGTTCACATTTGAAAATGAACCTATCCTAAAGCATTAGAATATGTTTTGACAGATGTGCTTCTACTGAACTTTTAAGCTTAAACCCCACAGATCTGCATAAAGTACCTCTGTGAAACCACATAATACCCTAACTGTTCCTCTAGTAGCTCACACTGAGCTTTTTAGATTCAGCTAAGAAAAAAGTCAGAGCTTTTCTGACGATGGCCAGGGCTGACTGGTCCTCCACCAAATATGCTCGGAAGGTACTTCCTATTTAACGTCCACTTTTCCTCACAACCACCACCTGATATTTGGATTGGGCTCCTACACTGGCTGGCAACCACACTTGAACTGCTCTTCTGACCAGCGGTGGGAATGCAGCAACTCATGTCTTGTGTTATGACAACCAAAAAGCCACCCAGTCCCCGAGGAAATGCGTGGGCCTCCCACAGCCTTCCTCATAGCTGGTGGGCGATGCGTCACACACCCTTTGCAGCTGCGGATCCCCCCAGAAGATCCCCCGGGAAGACCGTCGTACAGGCTGATCCCGTGCTAGCACTAAACGTATTTATAATTCGTGAATGGTTGTCACGGATATCTGCCCGTGTTAAATATAGCTCGGCAGGCACGGCGCAAGCTTCCCCAAATAGCACCCACCCCGCGCCTCCGGGCCTCACCCGGCCCC